TTCTTTCAAATTAGGAAAAATATATGCAACATGCATGGCGTAGCCGAAACATCAAGCTTACAAATTGGAAAACGTATGTACTGAAGTTTCATACTTAGAAGAAATTTGAAGCAAAACAGAGCAAAGGACAAGCTTGTGCTCACCGAAGTTTTCACCAAGTCGTCCTTTTCAAAACTGGCATCGTCCTCGGCCTTAGAGTTAGACTTAGAAATACCGGCTTCAACAGCAGCAGCAGTGGATAGAATTTGCTCTTCAGGACCCAAAAGAAAAAATGGGTCACGTTTCAAGTACCTAGGCTTCTGCTTGGAGTATTCAGTTGAACTGACTATGTCTAGCTGAGACACGCGCAGCGCAGGGGCTCTATCGGAAAGAGGAGTGATTTGAGGATTTCTCTTCATCAATTTTCTTTCGGCGTTGATGCCTAGACGTCTGTAGTTCAAGCCGCAGTTTGTCTCATGCAGCACTGAAAATCCAAAATGAAAGAAGTTAAAAAAAAATAACGAAACAAACAACAATAATTTCAACAATTACACAAAAAAACAAGAACGAGCCTTCGGCCCCAACCGAGATTCTTACCATCTTGGTACTTTCGGCTGAGGCCGACGACAACTAATATTTTCTCTTGGAAGATATAGTGATAGCAAGGGAGCCAAGTGGGCGGACTGTATTTTTCTCGCCCCCATCTTCCCGTAGCCACTTTTGCAAAGAGTTTCAGCAGCTCATTATCTTCGGTCGAAAATTCATCAGGACCGATAGCAGACATTTTTGGATCAAGCATTCTCAAATGTCTCGGCCCTACAAAATAGTTAACATGCTCTTCTTCAGACGGAACCCTCACCCAACTTCATTGACCCCTCCAATCTTTATCCGAGGTATCATTCGGCTAAGTGGTCAAAATAGTTCGTTTTGCTTCAATGCGCCACCATCCAGGGCCATGAGGTTCGGAAGACTGTCTGTTCGGCACCAAATTATGTAATTGCCGAAATACGTGTATGCTAGGGTCAAACCCATAAAAAAGGGCAACCCATAAAAATGTCATTACCTGCCGGATGCTGACCAGGGTTAGCTGGCACAATGCAATGTTATATCCATTCAACACTTTCGTCACGAAGGGATGAAGAGGAAATCTCAGCCCTGACTGTATTTGCCTGATGTAAACTCCAACATACCCAGGCGGCGGTCTATGGATTCTATCTTCTAAAACTGGCATTCTGTACCAATACCCATCCCGTTCATAAATCCCGTAAAAAATTTCGATTTGCTCGGCAAAGAGATGGCGGGAATTCTCTACAATTCACCATTCGTATGGAGTAGTAGTCGCAAGTCCCGAATTTTTAGTAGGGTTGTACCATTCTTCGGCACCTTCTGGCAGATACCGAGGCCCATGCACAGCACCACTTGCAGACGAAATAGGCTCTTCCTACTCCCTGAACGTCACAGAGGCAAATGGTCAAGCTGACGTCAATGGTACAGTCGATATCGGAGAATCGCCTGTAGGTTCCTTTCCTCCGTACTTGGAACCATAGCGGTGTGGCTAATAGGTGGCATCCGGCCAAGCGGCTGTTTACGCCGATTACTTGGAGGAAGAACTTGTCGCCTCTCAGCTTCTTCTCCTTCAGCAAGAACGGGCCTTTTGTCCAAATCCCGATCCCTAACCATATTTTCAAAGGAAAATCGAACCGAAATGAAAATTACAGAAATTTAAACAAATCCGGAAGAATTTCAGCGGTAATTACCTGTACCTAGCTTGGAATTCGCTGGTCTTGTATGTCGGAGTCTTGGATTAAGAAATAAACCTCGGATTAACAGGAATTTCGGATGGAAATTCAATTTTGGGAAGGAAATTCGTGATTTCTAGGGTTGTGTTTGCAAAAAAGTGATTAGTGAAATGCGGAGGAAGTGTTTAACTACGGGCTTCTAAATTCCGGAACTTTAATAGTTAACAAACCGCCATGATTCCCAATAAACTATTATTAAACACATTTTCCTAAAAATAACTACCCACTAAACATCTCAACTCCTTTATTACTCTCATTAATGACGGTTGTAACCGTTTAAATTACCCAAATTCCATCAATTTTAAATTGCAATCATTTGTGGTATTTGGTAATCAGGCAAATTATATTTTGGTTGTTAATATTAAAGAACAATGAATCGGAAGAAAAATGTCTAACAGAGTACAAAAAACATACGACACAGAGTTTGTTTGTAGTTGTTTTGTTCAGATGTTTTTATTACGGCATTAGGATCAAAAGTCTTTGGTTTCAAATGTCTTTTACCAGGCTTAATTATATTGAACAAAATATGTTTTAAGAGAAAAGGTATCAGAAGAAAAGTGATTGACAAAGTGCAAGTAACATAGGCTAAATCAAATATAGGGTAAACCAAATTTGCCAAATTAAATATGCGGCCTCATGCATAAAAACAACATTGGGATCAAATGTCATTGACCCGGCATTGGGAAACATTGTGCATATTTAGGCATTAGAATCAGATGTCATTGACAAGGTACTGTGATTAAATGTCTTTGGTGTAAAATGTCTTTTATCATGCCTATTTATGTTAAACCTAAAACGTTTTGAAGGGAAAGGTGTCGGAAGAAAAGTGCTTGACAAAATGCAAAAAACATAGGCTCAATCAAATATAGGCTAAACCAAATTTGCCAAAGTAAATATGTGACCTTATGCCTAGAAACGGCACTGGGATCAAATGTCATTGACCCAACATTGGAATTAAAGGTCATTGGTTTCAAATGTCTTTTACCACGCTTAATTATATTGAACCAAAATGTTTTGAAGGGAAAAGTGACACAATAAAAGTGCTTAACAAAGTACAAGAAACATATAATACTGAGTTGTTTGGTAAACATTGTGCATATATAGTCATTAGGATCAAATGCCATTGATATGACATTAGGATTAAAGGTCTTTAATTTCAAATGTCTTTGGCCATGATAAATTATGTTAAACCTAAAGCGCTTCAAAGGGAAAGTTGTCGGAAGGAAGTTGCTTCACAAAGTGCAAGAAAAAAATGATACAAAGTTGGTTAGCAAACATTATACATCAGGAAAATTATATTTTCGTTATTAATATTAAAGAACAATGAATCGGAAGAAAAATGTCTAATAGAATACAAAAAACATACAACACAGAGTTTGTTTATAGTTGTTTTGTTCAGATGTCTTTAACACGGCATTAGGATCAAAAGTCTTTGGTTTCAAATGTCTTTCACTAGGCTTAATTATATTGAACAAAGTACGTTTTAAACGAAAAGGTATCAGAAGAAAAGTGATTGAGAAAGTGCAAGTAACATAGGCTAAATCAAATATAGGGTAAACCAAATTTTCCAAATTAAATATGCGGCCTCATGCATAGAAACGGCATTAGGATCAAATGTAATTGACACAACATTGGGAAACATTGTGCATATTTAGGCATTGGAATCAGATGTCATTGACAAGGCACTGTGATTAATGGTCTTTGGTATCAAATGTCTTTTACCATGCCTATTTATGTTAAACCTAAAACGTTTTAAAGGGAAAGGTGTCGGAAGAAAAGTGTTTGACAAAATGCAAAAAACATAGGCTTAATCAAATATAAGCTAAACCAAATTTGCCAAAGTAAATATGTGGCCTTATTCCTAGACACGGAACTGGGATCAAATGTCATTGACCTAACATTGGAATTAAAGGTCATTGGTTTCAAATGTCTTTTACCACGCCTAATTATATTGAACCAAAATGTTTTGAAGGGAAGTGACACAATAAAAATGCTTAACAAAGTGCAAGAAGCATATGATACTGATTTGGTTGGTAAACATTATGCATATATAGTCATTAGGATCAAATGCCATTGATATGACATTAGGATTAAAGGTCTTTAATTTCAAATATCTTTTACCTTGACAAATTATGTTAAACCCAAAGCGCTTCAAAAGGAAAGTTGTCGGAAGGAAATTGCTTCACAAAGTGCAAGAACAAAATTATACAAAGTTTGTTAGAAAACATTATACACATTTTTAAATTTTTTCGTAAGTGTACGTGACTTCTTATATTTAGAAAAACGCTTGACAAAGTGCAAGAAACATAGACTAAATCAAATATAGGCTAAATTAAAATCGCCAAAGTAAATATGATACTGAGTTCAATGACAAACATTGTGCATATATAGACATTGGGATCAAATGTCATTGATATGACATTGGAATTAAAGGTCTTTGATTTCAAATTTCTTTTACGATGCCAAATAATGTTAAACCTAAAACGTTTTGAAGGGAAAAGTGTCAGAAGAAAAGTGTTTGACAGAGTGCAAGAAACATATGATACAGAGTTGGTTGGCAAACATTGTGCACACTTAGGTATTCTTTTGTTAGTGTAGGTGCCATGCCAAATTAGGTTAAACCCAAAACGTTTTTAAGGGAAAGGTGTTGGAAAAAAAGTGCTTAACAAAGTGTAAAAAACATATGATACAGAGTTGGTTGGCAAACAGTACGCACATATTGGTATTCAGTTGTTAGTGTAGGTGACTTCTCATATTTAGAGAAGTGCTTAACAAAGTGCAAAAAACATAGACTAAACCAAATATAGGCTAAACCAATTTTGCCAAAATATGATACAACTTTGTTGTGATGATTAGTTGCATATGCAATAATACAATGTATAATGTAATCTCTTGTTATAATTGTACATTATTTATATAAGGAATTAGAACCAAAAACATTGTATCAATAACACTAAACAACAACTTAAATGTTTAATGCTAAATTATTTGCGAATACTTCAAAATATCAAAAGATACTACATTTCTAACTGAGTTTATGTGATACCCTTCAGGTGGTTTCATAGTATACACAACAACATTTTCAGCCTTTTTAGCCCGAGATAAAGCCACATACAGTTGACCATGTGAAAAACACGGCCGAGGAAGATATATCGAAACTTGATTCAACGTCTGCCCTTGTGATTTATTAATCGGCATGGAAAAACATAATTTAATTGGAAACTATTTCCTTTCAAAAGTAAATGGATACCTACTATTTGCTGGAGGGCGTAAAGTTGCTCGATGCCCAAAAACAGTTTTACCTTTGTATTGTCCAACAGAAATTTCACAGACAATAATGTTGGGCATAAAAGTCTTACAAATCAATCTCGTACCATTACAGAGCCATTCAGAAGGCATTATATAGCGTAAAAAAATCACTAGACAATCCTTTTTAAGGACATGCTCATGGGGACTCATCCCCCCGGGCAAAGTTTATTTATAAACTCCATCGGATAGATACTGCATGTATCATTGAGCAATACATCAAAACTTTTATAGACCACTTTTTCTCTTGGAAACTGGTCAATCAAAACTGAATTCACCATATCCACATCGTCATTCATCGGAGTTAAAATTGCCCTATCTGCAAAGATATCTGATGTACTTGTTGCTTTCTCAACTTCTAGAAATGTTGCTTTTATAATCTCTAAAATGGGATCCTTTTCCATATCCAAATGTCGAATCATTCCATCAGGCAATTGTACATAACCACACTCATTTGTTTGTAATTCACCGTTGCCAAGAGATAACAAAAACGAACAGAATGCAAGATCTTCACGAACTCGCTGATTTTCTGTTAATTTAAATCTTTTCAGAGATGGCCAGATATATGAAGCGACAATGCTTGATTCAACACCTTGTCTTAAGGACTTTTGAGGTACAGCTGGTAGAACCTGTCTAAAATCTCCGCTAAAAATGATAAGCTTACCACCAAAAAGTGTTGTATTTTCACAAATATCTTGTAACAGCAAATCAAGGGCCTCTAAATTCGCCTTGTTGTCCATAGAAGCCTCATCCCAGATAATCAAAGTTGTCTCTTTTATTAAATGTGCTAAACTACCTTGTTTTGGCACATCACGTGTAAAACAACTCTCATTGATCAACTGGTACTTTAAATCTTGAATGAGTTGTTCTGCCTAAAGGGAGATTTGATGCTGCTATTCCAGATGATGCAGTTGGAAACACAATTTTATTCATCATTCGAATTTCTACATATAAACAATTGTATAAAAATGTCTTGCCCGTGCCACCTGGTCCATCAATAAAAAAAGCTCCTCCTTTTTCCTCATTGACGTGTTTCATTATGCAATCAAATGCTTTCAATTGAGCTGCATTCAAACATTCTTTTGAATTTATGCATTCTTCAGGAATAGCTGTATTTAAAGCATCTGCTATATCTCTCGTTTTTCTAAACTCATCACTGACATTATAACTTAGATGATCTAGCCCAAAAGTTTTCAGTGATTTACCCATTGATTCAAGATGTTGTTCTAACAAACTGACAGTCAGCTGTTTTATTTTTCCGGTACAATCCTTAAATTGATACATGAAATCTTCTGACAACGACATGTAATATTTTTCCCATAAAGCAGATGGATCGCTCGGTTGACAAAATATCAGAACTATTGCAAACAGTCGTCTAAAAGCACCTGGTAACTGTACCTCTGCAGCTTCAGCCAAGCAAATAGATGCAGCATCATCGTCTTCTAAAAGACCAAGTTCTTTAGCAGTTTCTTGAAATGTAGCACATACATAATTATCAACTGTACATAAGTCTGAAAAAGATGTTGAATTTCATATATTGAGCAGTAAAAGTCGTAGAAAATAACGTTCACCTTCAGCAGGTAAGACAAATGATATCCTCCCAACAACAGTTAGTGTATTTTTCCTATCTTTCCATTCCTTTGTACTTGCATCACATTTGTAGTACTCTGGAAATTCATCATATAAAAGGTTGGTGCCACCATTAATTGTCAAATTCATTGCAAAGTATTCTGTCAATGGTGTATGTGAACGCTAAGATCTCTCACTACCCATTTGAAATGGATTGCATATTCGAAAGATGTACAGGCAACGGCATAACAGGAGGATAGATTTCATATAAATCAAACCCAAATTTTCGCCATACTCCTTCACATGGGGATACCCACCTAACAATTTAAAATCACTCAGTTCCAATGAAATATTTGAAATTAATACGAAACAAAATCTAATAATGCAAACTAAATAATCAAACCAACCTGCCAGATTGAAATTGTTCAATTTCATCAACTTTATTATCATTTGTGGCAGATATCTTGAATGATATTCGATCGTGCCCTTTGTAAACGTATTTGTACAAATATTTTACTGCTTTGATAGTTGAGCAAACCTCAACATTAATATGACAGTCAAACATGAGTAGTAAATATGGATTATAAGGTACTACCCATTGGTTATCTAGCTCATCTCGTCTGATTTTCACCTTTTCACCTATTTGTCTTCCCCTATATGTAGGATATCCATCTTTGTTGTTTGCTGTTTCTGAATTGTAGTCTTTTGGATATCCATTTTTACAAACTAACTTTCTCCCATCCATTTTCATGCAAGGACATTTTGGATTCAGCTTGCCGCAAGGCCCGTGCATCATATGAGTCAAGACAACTTTACGAAGATGAGAATTATCAAACAACTGGATTTCAGCACAAACAAATTTATCATACTCTGTTGGCCCTCTTATTTTGAAGTCACGTTTTAGTATTATTAAAAAATGTGCATGTGGTAATCCTCTCTTTTGGAACTCAACAACATAGATTACTGCTGCCACTTCACCAAAGAGTTTTTCTTTCTTAATCTTTTTTTTAAAGCCAATAATTTAGCACGGAATATCCGAGCCACTATATCTGGCCTATCTTGTGCTTTCTCTCCAGGTTGTAGTTCACACTGTATTTCCGGCCAATTTGCATTGCTTGTCATGGTAATAAACAAATCCAGCTTGCCATACCTTTGAACTAATGCCATTGCAGTTAGATATCGAAGTTTAAGATCTCTAGGACACCGAATGAACGATGGAGGCAAAATAACAAGATGTCCAACCTTCGAAGCATCTGTCTCTCCACCTGACACACTATGAAGAACACCTTGATAAAGATCAGCTCTAATTATATCTTGATTGTTTCGTAGATAATCGAGCCTTGAATTCTCTATCTTGACATACATGTCAACAACAAACTGCTGAAAACATCTTCCACCTCTTAGGAGCATATTTTTGGGCCTAATTTGTAATTTGTAGGCATAGTATTCTCTTGGAGAAATATATTTATTAGCTCTTGTTCTGTGTTTAACAACACCTACATTTTGCAGAAGAAAAAAGACACTACTAAAAATGTACATCACAATAAATGTTTTAAAATAAAATATAATATACGTATATAACAAACACTTACGTGATTCTTCTTCATCCAAAAAATTTTGCACGGTATGAACTACGCAAGAATTTATAGGATCTGGAACCTGATTTGTATGCTTTTTCTCAGCACCAACCTGTTTCTTAAGATTTTGAGTCCATCCACATTCATCATGGGGAAATAACAGTGGATATTGTAGTGGATCATAGCACCCATAATAATGACAAATACGATGAGTTTGAGCGGACTTTCCATACACAAGAATATGTGGAGTGCTTATTTGACTTGAAGACGCACCATCTGGCCACACTACAGCAACTTCATCTGAGACAGGTGCATTGTGAACCCGTTGATCCAAAACAGTACTTTGAGATAAGACTATCTGCGTGTTTTCATCAATCTCTATTTCCCTCAACGATCTGAAAAATCTTGCATAAGGATTGATATCAGTAATCTTCATTAATATACGAATAATATCTTCCCGTACTTCAGGAAAACAATTTACTCGATTCTGGATTTCGCGCTGGCCATCATAAAAATACAGCTGCAGATATTTAGGACTACAATTATCAGGTAGAATGTCTGGAACAAAGTGATATATTTGCCCATGCATTTTGAATACATATATCCCTTTATATGTTGTTGACTCTGTTTTGCCACCTATAGAACTAAAAGCAAAGAGATTGTTATACATTCGGCTATACTGTTTGAAATGTTTAGCATCTTCATCTTATGATATATATAAGCGGCATAACTGAGCAAGAAATTCATTAGCTGCAATAACAACTTGTTCATCGCAACAACAAAAGCTTGGAGTTCCATACATGAATTTCCTTGCATTACAAATGCAAACAACACGGTACACTCTGAAGCATAAGAGGTCCTACTGGTAGAGATTGCCCTATCGTAGTAGGAGGTAAAACTACCGATACCCCCCCCCCCCAAAAAGCATATTATAAATATCATATATAATATGTCTTATGTATTGTGTGTTAAAATGTCAAGTAAATTGGTATAATACCTTCTGTACAGGTTTTTTAGCAGCTGAAGTTTGTGCAAAAAACTGCTTACGTTTACTTTTACGCTGCTCATATATTTGTGAAGAGCTCCCCACATTATCTAATAACTCGATCATAACAATTATATTAGCAACAACATACTAAAATAATGAATGTGTTATACATAATATCAGACATGAAATGCACAGAGATAATTAATACTGAATGATAAAATATTGTAAAAAAAACAATTTTTTGGAAAAGTATTAAAGTAGGTACTCAGAATTACCGCCATTGGAAATATCACTATCTTCTTCTTCACAAATTTCCTTTTTCTAATCTGTCTATACTCTTAACATAATTGTTCCCATTCAAAACCACATCTTACAAAAGATTTAGCCATTTAATATTTGTAATTTTTTTTTTAAAAAACCATTTATATTACGCCACTCATTTTATTAAGATTTTGAAACCATTATACAGATGAAAGTAGACTTTGAAATTTGTACAAATTGGGCGTCAATAAGTGACGAAACATGTAAATAATTGTATTGCAATATATTAGACATCATTACCTGTAGTACCACGCTTCCTACGCTTTTTGGAATTGTATCTATAAAAAAAAAATTACATATACTTCCTCCGCCCGCTATTATCTGCAACAAAGGAATATTTTATATCTCACAAATAATACCCCTTTGTTGCAGATATTAGTAGGCGGAGGGAGTACATAACATATAATCTATCACATAAAGCAGATAAACATAGAGACTTACAATGCTTCACATTCTTGTATAGACACCTCCAAAAGATTAACAGATGACGACCCATCTACCTGCCGAGACTCTTCGTCATGTTCTTCAGCGTAATTGACACCTTTCAGATGCTCTTCCATAATAAACAGAACGTTTTCCTCAACATGCGTGATTAACACACCAGCTTGCGTTTGGCTTTTCTGGCGACATGTTCCGCCGAAAGTTGAACAGTATTATGCTGTACCTCTTCCCCTTGGTTACGAACATCAGAAGGATCTGAAATGTTCTCATTACCTAATTCTCTTATACTCTCGGCTAACCGAGGCTCTTTCGGCATTGAAGAAGGCCCTCCTAACGGAAGTTGACCCAGGTTGACAACAGCCCTAGTCTTTCTTTTATTGGACCTTTTCTGTCTATCAATTTGAACAACGATTGGTCTTGCCGAATGGATCTGCCAACACCTTTCGTCTCGCTGTTCAACATCCTTGAAAGATATCGGTCGCTCTTCCATATCTAACGCAACGGTATCCTCGACGTGTGTGATTGGAACATCAACATGCAGTCGAACTTTTTCGGCAGCAAGATTTACCGAATGCCAAAAATTACTCTACTGAGTCTCCCCCCGTAGGTTCCGAATGGCTGAAGGAACTTTAATTTTCTCCCAGCCCACTTCGCTTGTAATTTCCTCTCGTCGAAGTCCTGTCGTCAGTGAGGAATTCTCCCTTAAGCAAGGTTGACCAAAGTCGACAACAACCCCAGTCTTTCTATGCCTGGCCTGTTTTTGTATTTCGATTTGTTCAGCTGATTGACTTGCCGAATGACCATGAAAAAACTCTTTGGCACACTCTTCAGCGTCTTTAGAAGATTTCGACCACTCTTTCATAACCAACACAACGTTATCCTTAGCGTGCGTGGTGGAAGCATCAACAAGCATTTGAATTCCTTCGGCAATAACCTCTGCCGAATAATGAGAAGTCTTCTGCAAAAACTCTTCCCCTTGGTCCCGAATTGCGGAAGGAACTGGAACTTTCTTCCTGTTTAATGCATGTATTTGTTCGGTTCGATGAGGTCCTTTCGGCAATGAAGAAGATTCTCCTAACGGAAGTTGAGCTAGGTTGATAACAGCCCTAGTCCTCCTTTTCCTGGCCTTTTTTTGTGGTTGGATTTGTTCATCGGTTGGGGACCTTCCGAATGAACATGTCGTAATTCTTTCGGCTCATACGCACTTTCGGCTGGACGAGACCTTTTTAGCGATGACGAGGACTCAACTAAGGGGAATTGACCCGGGTTGACAACAACCCTACTCTTCCTTTTCCTATGTCTTTGGATTTGTTCTGCGACAACTGTAGTCGAATGCCGAAGAGGAATAAGAGATGAAAAAAAAGTCTTCTGCTGATTCTGGATACGAACAACAGGAGGAACTGTATTTATCTTCGTCGCCACTTGTCTTGGTTCTTCGTCTCGGCATTGCCTTTTCGGCGATGAAGGTGTCTCCCCTAAGGGAAATTGACCCGGGCTGACAACAGCTCTAGAATTTCTTTTCCTGACCATTTGTACGTCGTTTCGTCCAAAGAAGATTGACCAGATTAAGAATTTTCATGATTTATATGTAATAATGCTTCATCACCCATTGCAGCCAAAAAAAATAGAGTGGAGAAGTATGTATCAGCATGATCCAAGCAAAAATCAAAAACAATTATAAACCTAAAGAAAAGCTACTTAAATTACGCATAGAAAGCAAATCATAGGAGAAAGGCTTCAAAAGAGCTACAGTTGTTTAAGTTCTCACAGGCTGAGCAGACAAAACTATTTTACTGGAAATAATTCGAAATGAGTAATTATTTTTAAATGAACACCTAATTCACCTATGAAATTACAATATATTAAATTTAATTAGAAACACCCTACAACAAAGTGCTGTAATATTATTTTAAAAAATTCTGGAAAAGAGAGACTAAACCAAAACACTATAACAAAGAAAAGCAAAATATCTATTCATAACAAACTACAAAACTTTCAAAACAAAAGTATTTAATGAATATCATACTCATCATTCAACAATCATTTAAAATTTTTGGATAAAACACCTAATTAGATATTCAATTCCATAGTTTTTTACAAAACTTGTACCGTAAGTAACTTCATCCTTAAATCTAACTAACATTTTTAAAATCTACAAACACCATTACACAAACACAGTTGCAGAACATCGATGTCAAAAATAACATTCATTATAACTACATACTATTTATCCAAAACAATTATCTACAGCTACATTCTACGTTTCCGAAACAATTCACTATCACCAATAAACTGGCTTCTTGTTATATTTCATCAACGCCAATTCAAGTTTCTCCCTCTCTTTCTTCTTATCTTCTCTTAATCTTCTAAATTGTGAACAACCTTTGATCGTGACCCGGTCTAACCAATTTAATAATC